AGGTGTATTATCACAGTGGCAGAAAAAAAGAGTGTGTTTGTGGTTTTCAAATGTATTCTGGTGCCCTTCTTAACAGAAGTCCACGATGACCAAGATTTCTTAGGAGAAATGTTGGAAAAAATGGTATATGCTGAAGTATCTGAGAAAATGCTTTAAATGTTGAATTTCCCCAAATCTTTTAGGAACAATCAATCTCTCCAGTGACTATTAAAACCATCTTGGTTTCATCATTGGTTCTTTTAGAGAGATGATATTACCTAGAAATTCTTTGAAGTGATTGAAGAGCAGTTGAAGTGGTATTTTAAAAATCTGTGTATAGCTGGTGATACAAATAAATATTCTGGGAGTTCTTGTGTGTATCTATGCCACTACTACAAAAGAATGTAGAAAACCTCTAAAGATAAARCTCAAAAATGTTGAAAAGTACCCAGGGCAATGGATATGCTGAAATGTACAAGCAGGTATTCAGAAGTGACATCTGGCTTACAATACTGTTTACTGTCTATTTTTTAAATTGTTTTATGTTCTCTTTAAGCCTAGTTTTTTAGAAGTTTTAATAACATATGAGTGATATAGTCCTTCAKAGTCTGAGGAAAGCAATCACTGCTTTGGGTAGTAATTTTACCGAATTCTTGATAGCCACTGCAGGATCTAAAGGAGATACTAACTGCTGWTAAATGTGAGAACTGTCTGAACTCATTTTTTTGGGATTTAGAAAAAGTGATTTATCATTTATTCTTATTTTTAGCTCTCGGAGTGAGTAAATGTATCCAGATAGCACGTAGTCTTACATCAATATAACATGCATTTGGGAGTGACAGAAGGGCACTGTGTTTTCTTATCAGAAACATCCTGACAACCTGAGTGTCTTCTTAGATGTCCTGAGTACTTCTTTATGTCCTGATGTGCATCCACTAACCTTACAAAACAATTTTACTTTTACTGAAGAGATCCGAGTCAGATATCAGTCTTATTAGTGCTCTCTTTTAAAGAATCTGGGGTCATATAAAGAACAGCCTAGTTCCTGGAAGGGGGATAATGGAGTGAGTTTATTTGATTTCTACTTGCAGTGGCTCTACTGGGCCTACAGTATCTATGTACCTTATTGATGCCACAGATGGATTTGAGTGAGATAGAGTAATAACATTTCTCAGGACATTTATGTGGGAAGATTATTACTGGGTGAATACTTTTCTATTTCAGTTTAGACAGGTGTCAGTACATACACAGAAAGTAATAAAACAACCTAAACCCAAGGGTATCCTCAGCTTTGCCAGGACTTTCTTGGTCCATTTTGACAGCGAGTGGTAGTTCTGTAGAGCATGGTTTTGTTCTGTACTTCTCACAAGCCAGGAGAATTCTTCCCAGTCTTGGTTTATCATCTGTTCTCCTTGTTTTGATTTGCTTAGTTTTGGCTTCCCTAGCAGCACTTTTCTGAGGTATCCCTACATCACATAGTCTCATTTGGAAATAGCTTTAAAGCTCTACAGCAATGGACTACTTCTGGTAAGAGGCAGCAAAGCTAGAGGTTCATTTTATTGGAGGCATTGCCCTCGGCACACTCCATGCTGGAAGAGAAGATTAGAATCATAGAATGCCGAAGGTTGGAAGGGACCTCAGAGGTCATCGAGTCCAACCCCCCTGCTCACGCAGGGTCACCTAGARCACGTGGCACAGGGCTGCATCCAAGCGGGTTTTAAAGATCTCCAAAGAAGGAGACTCCACARCCTCTCTGGGCAGCCTGTTCCAGTGCTTTGTCACYCTCACAGTGAAGAAATGCTTCCTTAAGTTCCTGTGGAACTTCCGATGCTTCAGTTTGAAGCCATTTCCTCTAGTCCTATCCCTGCCCACCACTGAAAAGAGGCCGCCCCCCTCCTCCTCACTGCCTCCCTTGAGGTATTTATAGACACTGATCAGGTCCCCCCTCAGCCTCCTCTTCTCCAGGCTGAACAGRCCCAGCTCTCTCAGCCTTTGCTCATAGGGCAGATGTTCCAGGCCCCTGATCATCCTGGTAGCCCTGCGCTGGACTCTCTCCAGCAGCTCCACATCACTCTTGTACTGGGGAGCCCAGAACTGGACGCAGTGCTCCAAATGTGGCCTCACCAGGGCTGAGTAGAGGGGGATGATCACTTCCCTCGACCTGCTGGAGACGCACTTCTTAATGCACCCCAGGATCCCGTTGGCCTTCTTGGCCACCAGGGCACACTGCTGCCTCATGGTCAACTTGTCGTCCACCATGATACCCAGGTCCCTCTCTGCGGGGCTGCTCTCCAGCAGGTCCACCCCTAATCTGTACTGGTGTCCAGGGTTATTCCTTCCCAAGTGCAGGACYACTGGAGATTGCTCCAGAGAAGTTACATCAGTTTATGRAAGTTGAAAAGTGGCTGGTTAACCCTGGCAAATTTACATCACGTGGGGAGATTAGATTGCTGAGGAGCTGCTGCTCCACCCTGCTGCCTTTGCAGATGAGGTTGCTGATAGAGTCATGGCAGGGAGCTCTTGCTGGAGCTTTCAGCAGCATGTGGTGTGAAACAGGCTGCGCCTGCAGCATGGAGCTGAGTGACCTTCCCAGGACATGCTATCGCCTCTACTGCCCAGGCTCGTGACCATGGCACAGAGCGTGTGTGCCATTCCTCAGCAGGCTGCCCGTGTTAGGCAGAAAATCATTGTTCCTCATTGTGGATGAGGATCTAGAGGAATTTGTAGCAAAATGCTAAGAGTGGCAACTATTTAAACAAKGATGGAAAGCCTGGTAGCTAGAGGCCAGTTAATACCTTGGACAGCTACTTATCTTTGGCAGGGGCTGGTCTTGTGTGCCACTTACAGCAGAGTGGTCACACAGGTATCTTTTTCAGACTGAGGGCAAAGAGAATTTAGAGGACACAAAGCCACGGGCCACAAATGCTATGTTTGCTGTAGCAATAATGCCACTTTAATCCCCAGAGTCTTGCTACTTGTTAGGGAATGTGCAAACCATTTGGGGAACTATTAAGGAACACAGACTGCTTGGTGATTCCTGGAAAGAGGGTGCTGAAGGGAAATGTCTGCATTTCATCCTAACGAAATACCAGAATGCAGACTAATAATTTGCAGAAGCCTAAATAGGACTTAAAAAAACAGGAACCCCAACTGGCTACCTATTTTCCCAAGTGTTTTCCTAAAGATAGCAGGAGCCGTAAGCTGAGCAGCTTTCGAGCACAGCTTTAATTGTTTTTCAAAGGAACCACTGAAGGGCASTCTGGCTGGAACAAACCCTGAAGTGCAATCAGGAAGATTTCAAGTGTACAGTAGTTTTGACGACAATCAAGGCGTTTTAGTAGTTRAGATCCTGTAGCAAATGATGAATAAAGCCTTTTCATGTCAGCATTGACAGTGCTGGAATCTGTAGACTTGGAGTCAATCATAGACCCGCTCTATTGGCTCCCGCACAATGAACTTCAGTATCCTCATTAAAATTGACACRCACCCTGATTTCCAAATATACACAACTCCACAGTGCACTTGATCAGAAAAACGAGCTGTTTATTGTCAATAGCTATTGTGTAGGGGGAAATAAGAGATGCCTTTTCCCTTCCTAACCCATTCCCGCTTCCCAAACCCGCCTCTGCTCCCAGCCATCCCGAGATCCTCTGGCAGAATAGCAGCGCTTCTGCGTGGATTTTACAGTAATTGCCGCGGCATCGCTCGTACCTCCTATAATGGAAATTATTTGGGTCACCAAATCTGGCTTCCTAATTATAGGAAAGAAAAAAAAAAAAAAAAAGGAAGAAAAAAGAAACATGACGTGAAAACCGCCTTGTTCTGGCGTTTCTGCGTGTAGATGCCTGGAACGGGGCTCTTGCTGTGCTCCGTTTGGGTGTCTGCTGTGCCCGCCAGCAGCCACGTCGCAGGGGGCTCTCTCCCCTACTCCGTGCTCCTCTTCCCCCAGGGGAAAAAGTGACAGGATGGTGGTGACAAATGAAGACTTAACCCCTGTGAGCATCACCAGATGCCTGCACTCCCACCCTGACACATGCCTGCCCCACGCAGGCACCACAGGCACCTCACACCCTACTGCTCACACACTTGCCCCACACAGATACGACACGTGCCTCACACCCCACTGCTCACACACCAACCCCACGCAGGCTCCACACGCCCCTCAACCCCACTGCTCACACACCCGCCCCACGCAGACACCACACGCACCTCATACCCGTATTCCCCACACGCTCAGCCCACGCAGGCACCACACGCCCCTCACACCCCACTGCCCACACACCCGCCCCACACGCCCCTCAACCCCACTGCTCACACACCCGCCCCACGCAGACACCACACGCACCTCATACCCGTATTCCCCACACGCTCAGCCCGCGCAGGCACCACACGCCCCTCACACCCCACTGCTCACACACCCGCCCCACGGAGGCACCACACGCACCTCATACCCTCACACACTGACCCCACGCGCCCTCCTCACGCCCCTCACACCCCACTGCCCACACACCCGCCCCACACGCCCCTCACACCCCACTGCTCACACACCCGCCCCACGCAGGCACCACACGCACCTCATACCCTCACACACCGACCCCACGCACCTTCCTCACGCCCCTCCCGCCCCACGCAGCTCCCGCCCCGGCTCCCTCCTCCCAACCGCCCCCGTCCCCGGGGGAAGCAGCGCTGCCGTTAAGCCGCCGCGCGCGCCCGGGCGCTGCCGCGGAGCTGCCGCCCGCGCGGGCAGCGCGGGGCGGAGCCGGCGGCCGCGTGCGGCGCCCGGGCCCCTCCCGGGGCGGAGCGCGGAGCGGAGCGCGGGCGGGCGGCGCCGGGCGCCTGTTGCCCCCGAGAGAGTTAACGGCGCGGGCCGAGTGGCGCCTCCCGCCGCCGGGCGAGGGGGCGCCGCGGGATGTAGGGGCGGCCGGGGCTGCCGGCGCCGCGGGCTGCAGCGCTGCCGCCCCCGCGCCGCGGGGCTCTTCCAGCGGCGGGCGAGGCGCTGCGCGTGGCCCGGCGAGAAGTATGGCATGCGAAGATGGTTTCTGCCAAGGAGCCAGCCACCGCCATGTCCTCGGGTCTCTCCATCGCCCTCCTGCACTGCCTCTGCCTGGCGACGTGGTGAGTGAGCGCCCGGGGCCAGGGCCGCGCGGTTCTCTCGGCCCGGCCCGGTTCGGCTCGGCCCGGCCCGGCTCACCCCTGCCCTGCCTCTTTGCCTTGCAGTCTCAGCGGGCCGCCAGGGCAGAGCAAGAAAGAGGAGAAATTATGGCCGGAGAATTTCACGAGCATCCTGAACAGTCTCCTGGACGGCTATGACAACCGGCTGCGCCCGGGATTCGGCGGTACGCGCCGCGCCCGCCGCCCGCCCGGCCCGGGGCGCCAGGGAGGGACGCGCGGGGGCGGCCCCGGCGCCGCGGGGAGGCTCCGCGCCGAGCCCGGGACGGCGCCGGAGCCGCCGGGCGCCGTTGTCCTCCCGGGAGCCGCGCAGCGGGMCCGCGGAGCCCCCCGCCCTCGGGAGCGGCGGGCAGGGCTCAGAGCGGGTGTCCCGGGGCGCCCGAGCCCTCCCCGGCGTTGGCCGGGGCTTGGCTCTGCCTGGGAAGCAGCGGGCGCGGTGGCTGGGCAGGAATCGGAGGCGGGGGAGGCTGCGTTTGTCGCGTCCGCGTCCCCATGGCGGGTTCGGTGCCCCCTGCGCTGAGGAGATGCCCCCTCGTGTCCCTGTGCGAGCGGCCGGGCTTGGCGCTCCTCCCGTTCTCCTGCTACCGGGCAGCGGCTTGGAGCCAAAAGCTTCTTTCTTTTCCTTTTCTTTCCTTCTTTTTTCTTTTTTTTTTCCCTTTCTTTTTTCTTTCCCACCCCCTTTTTTTTTTCTTTTTTTTTTCTCTTATTTTTAATAGAAGTATTAAATGAAAGTGTTAAAAATACAGATTGCAATTAAAAATAGTATTGCTTTTATTTATTTATTTATTTATTTTAAGATGCCTCCCCTCTCATGATGCGTGAAGGCAATAAGAACGTTTCACGGGCTGCCTCAGATCCGGGATGGAATGAGCTCCTCGCGTAGGTTTATGCAGCGAAATCCCTTCCTCCTCCCCTGAAAGTACCTGTTTCATACACGTGATGCATCGGCACTGGTGTGCAAGCCACATAGATGCCCTATAGATGCTCACGTGCATGATCTTAATAATAACCTGGCATCATCGATCACATTTTATTATTTGGAGTATATTTACTCTATAAATGAGGTTTTCTATAACCTCACCTCCYTCACAGTCATTATTAAAGCTAAACTTTGATCAGAGTACCCAGAGGAATCATTAGAACAGGTGGCCTTTTGCAATTGAGCTCTGCAGAGAGGTTACAGATACTTCTGCATGCGTGCAGGGGATGTGCTATGTTTGGCATCGTTTTAGGTTGAATGCCAACTAATTAGTCATCTAGCAAAGATGCTTTATGAGCATTATCAGATTTCCAAAATTAAAGATGTACTAAATCTGCAGTATGACATATAGTTTATGCTGGGTTTTATTTTAACAGTGTCTTTTGAAGGATATTTTGCAAAAGTAGACTTGTTTTTTTCCCCCATAAATGTTAACAGGCTCTCGACAAAATGCTATAAAGAAAAAAAAATATTGTAGCTCTTTGAACTTTCACAACTGATATATTAAAGTAAATTATACAGGGAGGAAAAAGCTTAGATTTGAGCCCAGAAAAGCACTTTTAGGTGAATATTTGTCAAATTGGATATTATATTGCTTCTTATTTCTTCCCACAGTTGACCTTTACAAACCATCCCTTTTGAGTTTTGAACGTCTAAGTAATACATAATAAAATGTTTTATTTTTAAAAATAACAGCCCCAGTTACTTTCAGCCGAAGTTACCTTACAGCCTGCACCTCCTCACAGTCCAAGTACCTTCACCTCAGTTGATGGAAAGAGTTTTAGCAAAATAAAGCACAAAACCCCCACCTTGGCAATTAGTCAAGCATTTTTGCTTTTTGATGTCACTCAGAGAAGTAACTGTGGATCATATATATCATATATATGAAAATGTATATTATCCAGATCAAGTTTTCCCTATGTTTTTTTTTTCTTGATAAATCCTTATGGCAATTGGGACTTGCATCTTAAAAGTGGGTCACTCGCTAGTATATAGCGTATTAAAAAAAATGACACAGGAGATGGGAATATTTAGAGATGGAAATATAGTGTGTTTTGRTTATGTTAAAACTACATCACTTTTGATGAACAGCAGACTATTTAATTTTATTTTTTTATGGAAGCTGATTCACCATCTAGATTTCACGTGGATCAAAATGAAACATACGTTTTATTTTAAGAACAAAAGGCCTCATGGAGATCTGACGGATGTGAATTTTAAACCTCAAATCAGTGAAAATATTTCTAATTCTGGTGCAAGTGATGTTTAAAATCAAACTTGGGGAGCTAGCCAAATTCTGAATTTTCCTGGCATATTCCAGCGTTGCCACAAATAACAATTCATGAAGATTTTTTCCTGCGGAGCGAAGTGGGAAACGGTGGCTTTTGGAGATTTCCTAAGACTGGATCCGTGTTCTTCAGGCCATCCTTAATTAGCCCAATTGTTGGTAATTACGGAGGAGAAGCTTAATTTCCTGGTCATTCTCACAGATATGGAAATAGTCTATCGAGGTCTCTATATATTGAGTGGATGTATAGACACTTGCCCTGGTACTGCTCACGCAGAAGGATGGCAGAATGTTGAGGACAGACGGAAATACGAAGCTCCCCATGTCATTTGGTTGGCCCTGTGCATTACAAACTCACTTTATGAAGCAGATACAAAATCAGAAAGCTGTCATTACCTTCCTAAGCATTGCATGTTTGTTAAAAATGCTGCTTAAAGGCAGGACTAGTTTTAGAAGGGGAACTACACCAGCTTTGGGGAAAAAAATTGAAACCCTTAAAAGTAGCAACAGATTAGCAAAGAAATTTCAAGTGGAAGTTCAATTAAATAAATCCGAAAGGGCAGTTTCATACAAGAAACAAAGTTTTGATGTGCTGTCAGGAGAAATTTAAATGCAGAACAGTTTTGAAGGTAATCAGAATTTCAGTAGTGGGAAAGTGTTTAGGTACTAATGAAAAAAGTAATCCTCTGTGAGGTTTGAAAATAGTGTGGTGATAACTGAGTCAGTTGTACTGCCTAAGCTGTATTTCCTATTTTACCATTATCCTGAATTTCAGAATACAGTTTGTCCCGCTTGTTAACATCACAAAGCTACTCTATAATCTACTAGATAACAAAAATAGGGCGTTAGTAGAAGTCAGTTAGTGTGAATGAAATAAAGTGTTGTCATTTTGCTGTTTTGATTCTGCCATAAAGCTCTAAATCAGGAACTAGTTAGAATATGGATTCAGTTTCCACCTGATTTTACATTTTTTTCTTGTGTATGTCACCAAAGGCAACTGAAAAGTTGTAAAACCCACCTTCCCTTTCAGAATAACCTTGTTTTTCTTTTACTGGTGATTAGTTTAAAAATACTTGTAGGCTACATATGATTTTTTGAAAGGAATATTGTAAATAAGTAAAAGCCCTGAATTTGATTTTCCATTTAAACTGTTGTATGATTTCAGAGTCCTGAGGAACTCTTGGCATTGGTAAGAGCACGTGAGGTCAGGTTTGAACTTGTACTTGCTTTATAACATCTTTTTTTGATGGTATCTTTAAAACTTTCATGATTTGCTAAGTAATCATACATATGCATACACTTATTGAAGGAAGAAGAAAGAAGGTGTCTGAAATTAGAGGGAGCAGTATCACTGTCTGTTTACTAATTCCAGTGATTTTGTTTTTCTTCCTGCTAGGCTAGGAGTGTCCAACAGAACATCCCATCCTTATCATCTTGCCAGTTGAAATCAGACAGAAGGTGTTGTATGATTTGCTTCCTCCCCAAGACTAGTAGGTAATACGCTGGACATGAAACCCACTGAGCATGGGTTTAAAAAGTGAGGTTTGAGGCTATAACCTTGATCACAGGGTGTTAGAACATCAGTCAGGGAAAACTAGAGCTATTTTTCCTGTACGGTCTGTTATTTGTGTTATGCAGCCTGGCATGAGCCACCAGTCTCACCAGCCACTAGTGAAGGGCTGATAGGACTTTGACTTTCTGTTTAGAAATTGCCAGGTGCACTGGCTCACAACGTGCTCTTTCCCTTTCCTTTTCCCTTTCCCTTTCCCTTTTGTAGCTTACTGGTGAGGGACTGAGGAAAAATGGGGTTTCGTTTCCCTTATTGAGGGATTTCAAACTTCATTCTGCTTTATGGTCCCCTGGGTACCATATAGGTTAAAGACAACAATGAATGCTCCCTTTCTTCTTGCAAAGGGAAGAGCCTCAAGAGAATGGTTTGCTATGTGGCTCTGTCCTCCAGGAGCCAAAGCTCTTGCCAAAGGGACAAGGAATGCATTTCAGGGTGCACAAAAGGGTTTAAATACCTCCGAAAGGGGCAAAAATTAACCCAATCTTCTTCTAATCTTCTTCTATGTGTTGGATGAGTGGTGCAGTCCCTGAGTTACTGGAAGAAGTTAATGGATTTGGATATGCTTCAGAAGTAGTCCTGTGCTGTGAGTCAAATATAGCATTATTTTTGTTTCAACATCTCCAAACGTAGGAGGTTTAAGAGCTGCATCCCTTTACTTGAAGAAAAGGACATATTTCTGTTGATAGTGTTCTTAAATGCCTGCAGAATCAGCCCAGTCAGGATAGGAGGATATGGAGCAAAGTCCTTTTTTCCTCACTTGTGGGACAGAGTGCAAGTTTCTTGGTACTTACACCATGTAGTTCCTTGAAGGTGGTGGAGCTGTACAGTGTGCTTGACAGCATAGTCTACTTTGGGCAGGTTTTGGTTCTTGGTCAGTTATTATCCATTTTGCCTCATAATCTAAGCTGAATTTGATAAATGAGGAGGGTTCAATGTTTCTTAATCAGATGTTACTTGATTTGGGAATACCTGAAGCTGTCCAGAGGTTGTTCCATCTCATGCAGTCTGTGTTGCAAAAGTGACTCTTGTAGAAAAGATGGCTCTTGGGTGTCTTGCATTTAAGGCACTGTTCAGGTGGGGTTGTCCTCTTCATCTCTCTTTCTCACAACCTCTTAGTGAGAAAGTGCAGCTAAAAGCTGGATAGATTTGAGCACCTTGGCCATCGTCTCCCCCTAAGCAGGGTTGGAGAACATGGCAAGACAGAAGTGACAGAGAAATGTTCAGTCCATGAGCATAATTTCTAAAGACTTTCACTTCCTCTCGGTGCACAAGTGGCTTAACTATAACAATGTGTGGTCTTCTTTCAGCTCATCATGTGAACAAGAAATGC